GTTCAGGGTTTAGGGTTCAGGGTTTAGGGTTCAGGGTTCAGGGTTCAGGTTTAGGGTTTACGGTTCAGGGTTTAGGGTTCAGGGTTTCGGGTTTCGGGCTTAAGGTTTAGGCTTCAGGGTTTAGGGTTTAAGACTTCTCATGCCAATACCCGTGAAGAAAGGGCCTAGGATCTTGAGACTCATCTCCCTTAAACCCTGCAGGATAGTGCTTAGGATTTAGGGCGTAGGGTTTTTAAGGGTGTAGGGTCTTAGAGTTTAGGGTTTAGGGTTTTAGGCCCTGAAAACCCTACACAAGCTCATAGGCCCTAAACCCCCTAAACCTGAACCCCCCTAAAACCCCCGAAAAGCCTAGGCCCCAACCTTCCACCTACGAGGATGCATCCCGTGAACCATGTGCAGCTCAGAAGTTAGGACTTATAGTATTGTAGTGTTATTCTAGCATTGTTGTAGTATTGTTCTAGAACTACATGGGTGGTTGTCAAAATTATGGTCCGATTTTGGGTCCTTATTCTAATACGGCACCTATTATTTAGCGTACCCCAAAAGGGACCACACTTTTGACAACTACCCACATGGAGAAGCTGAAGCAGCAAGGCCAAAGCCCTGGGCTGCCCGGCCTTTTGCCCGGAAACGACCGGCTGCCCTGCGACGAGCTATTTGAGGGGGTGTCGAGTTTAACACAACCTTAAAAATCCCTTCCAACAGCTACTGGAAAGGGGTGTTGTGAATCCACAACATCTCGAAAAGCCTTCCATCAGCTACTTAAGGGTGATCTGCTGAGCAGTTTCGCCCGCCCTCCCAACAAAGCCTCATGAGCAGCCCGCGGCGCCGAAAGACCCACCCGAGGCCTGCCCCAAAGCCCAGCAGCGCAGCAAGATGAGCATCAGAACTCAAAACGTCTACAAAAAACGCATCCAGAGCACCGGCGAGCATCCAGAGCACCTAAACCAGAAACAAAAAGCATCCAGAGCATCAAAACCGGGTTAGGGCTAGGCACGGGAAGGTCCTAAACAAACCTAGGCCAGCTCCACCTAAACCGAGGGTACCCTCAAGCTGGCGGACCCCTAAACCAGGCCCCTCGCTGCGGTTCTAGGCCTAGCCGCGCCATACATCCGTATCCTACACAAGCTAAATGGGGGTTTCCGAAAATAGGGGACCCTAATATAGTACCCTAAATAGTAGGATCCTTATTATAAGGACCCCCAAAAAAGGTAGCCCCCATTTTCGGAAACTCCCAAATCACTATGAACACAACCACTTGCTCAGCAGACCGGCTTGACACACAGCAAGACAGGCAGCAGGCGAAACAAGACTGAACTTTTGCACTGAGAGCTCCCAGTGAACGAAGTGGTTGAACGTGGGACCTGGTCATTCCACTCACTTCTTATAGACATGCTTCATACAAAGTAGCTTTGGGATTTGGGGTTTCCTTCTGGCGCACCCAGGATACTGAGGAAGGGACCTGGCAGTGTTCAGAGGCTTGCGACTACTACCAGACCAATGAGGGCTCAAAGCTGCGCTCAGGCTGGAGACCCCTTTCGGAACTGGGGCTACACTCTGCAGCAATGTCTTTGCGGCCCCGCGCGAGCTGTACGGCTCGGCCTCAAAAGCAGCGTCCTAACCCTTCCATGCTCACTCATACCTTGGGCAAGCCGAGTTTCGGCTGGACCAGGACCAGCGGTGGGCGATTAGCGATGGGCTGGAGCGCTCACGGCCGCAGGTAAATGGTGCAGGGTCTAGAGTCTAGGGTTTAGGATTTAGGGTTTAGGGTCTAGAGTTTAGGGTTTAGGATTTAGGGTTTAGGGTCTAGAGTTTAGGGTTTAGGATTTAGGGTTTAGGGTGAAGAACTGCTGAGGTGAAGCGCACTATTGTTTTTAACAACAACAAACATCAACAACAAACAATCTTCGGGCGTACCATCCTGCCTCACCGTACAAGAAGGGCCAATAACTACTATAAGTAGG